TTTCTGCTTCAGCTCCAATACTTCCATCCGTAACAGTCGATTCATTTATGTCACCGGTATCTTGTTCTTGGCGACCACCTGGAAAAATCAAGTTTGCATATTTGAGAATTAGTTTGTACTTCAGCCAAATTTCCATATGAATTTGGAATATGAAAAATTGTTCGAAATTTTAACTAGAATTTCATTGGAATAATTTGAAAATAAAACAAGTTGGAAAAAACGTACCGTCAATTGACACATCTTCCAGGTTTTGCACGGTTTCCATTTCTTCGTTATCGTCTCGGTTTACATAAACCTTACGAGAACCACCAATATCAAAAAAAAATAACACGACCGCGAGTCAAACGATGATCCATTTTCGATTATAAAATTTACACCACAAAAATGTTATGAAAAAATTGCAGAAAACTAATTTCGTTGTGAACAAATTATTAGAGCGATATTGAACGCGTGCTTTGCGGTAGATTTCTCTTCAGCTATTTATAACCGATTTCAAACGAGAGCGACTGCAACACGAACATCGAATGACTTATTACAAACACAGACTTTTTTTTATACGTAGTAACCATAGCAATGCACAGCACATAGCGACACAGAGTAGCCGCTTGGTGTCAAGTGTTGAACAATGCGTAGAACAAATCTGCGTTTCACTCTGTCACTTCTTCTTAGAATAACGGTTTGCACACAAACAACATCAGAAGATTATGCCTTGCTTTTCAGATATGCTTTGAAAATATTATTTAACTGTCTGCTTCGATGGAATTGAATTCGAAAACAAATGTACAAAATGGTAGTGATGAAAATCTATAAACAAAAATAAAAAAAGTTGTTTTGTCAAATTATTTGTTCATGCGAATGAGGATTTTCAGATTCTTTCACTATGTGACTTACGATCAAATTTGATTTAGTTGCCTTCGTATGGGTTGGGTTCTATGGTCACCACTTCGATGAAAGATACTCTTGAATACGTGAATTTTAAATAAATTAGTTTTTGACGAATCGAACTGTAGTCAAACATTTGATGCACATTATTGTTATTTCAACAAATAATTGAATCACACCTTATTGTTTTCACTAATTCAATATTTTCAATTCATTTAAAACAAAAGAAATCGAAAAGAGTACCTTGAATGCATTTCGGTACTATCGTACCATCATCAGCATCACGACTAAACAGAAAAGTCGTCGGCTGTCACGCAAAAACATCGGTCGGTGTAACATCATAGCAAACGAGACAGCAAATTTGACTCGATGTTTCCGTTATCCAGATTCAATGCGTTGTTGCTCCTCTGAATAAAGTAACTTTCGTATGCGTCCAATTTGCGCGCGTCGCCTATCTCTTTCACCAGCCGTAAGTTGCTTATGTCGATATTCAAATGACCGCTGTTCAATGCATGTAATGCTAAGGCAGAGCGGTAGCCCTGTTTATTTTTTATGCACAAACAATGTTCACGGAAACGAACTGAAATGTTACGTTTCGTTTGTCCAATGTATTCACACATACAAACGGGGCACTGAATAGCATAAATGGCAGATTTATGTAAAGAATCAATTGTGTTTTTGGTTGAACCCAACAAATTCATTATTTTGGTTTGATTCGTGTTAACAATGGTTAAATTATATTCACGAAACTTATTTTTTATCTTGTTCATAATTTATGGGATATATGGCAAAGCAACTCTAACTCTTTCCACTTCTGGCGTGTTTTGCGAAAACAATGTCGATAAATTAAATTTGTTTATTTTGTCTAAATGTTTTTTTATCAACACGTCGACCAAATCTTCTTTGAAGCCATTTATTTTCGCCATTTGTTTTATGCGAGCGTATTCAGTCATGTAATTTTGTGCTGAGAGTTTCATTCGACACAATCGATGAACCATTGAATGATACGCAGCCAATTTGTGTTGCATGCTACAGTTTGAATCACTAGTTATTGTTCTCAATGTGTCAGTGGGTTTGTGGTAAATGGCAATATCAATTTTGTTGTCCACAGAAGTTGACAATTCCATGTCCAAAAACGATAATTTACATTTATCATTCTCTTTCTCACACGTAAATTTAATCGAATCGAACCGATTATTGAGCACGTTTAACACTGAGTCAATTTCGTCCATCTTTATTATCGCGAACACATCGTCTACATATCTCCACCAGATTCTGGGAAGCAAGTTTTCTTGTTTTAATTTTCGTTCAAATGCCGACATGAACAACTCACTAATCAATGGGCTAAGCGGATTTCCCATGTTAGTTCCAGTCCACATGATAAAACGAATCACGAAACTGAAAATAACTATGATCCATACACATACGCGCTGCTTGGTAATAAACTGATTTTTGTTCAAATGGAATATCAATTTGCTCTAAATATTTTTCAAATTCCTTCAATGCAACATCAATCGGAATACTTGGAAACAAAGAACACACATCAAATGAAATTTTAGTCTCATCACAATTCACAACAACATTTTCAATTTTTTCAGCGAAGTCAATTGAGTTTCTGACTGAAAAACTCTCAAAAGGTGGCAGTTTTTTGACTTCTCCTACTAGCCATTTAGCAATGAGATAGTCAGTGGTACCGATACTAGATACAATCGGCCTCATTTTGTTTCCGGCTTTATGTATCTTAGGTAAACCGTAAATTCTGGCAACTTTTGGATTCGACACTTTGAGATTTCGAGCTAGACGCGCACCAAACACTTTTCCTATTTTTTGTCTCAAAGTATCACTTTCCCGAATCATTTTCGGTAGAGGAGTTTTCTTGACTTTTTTATAGGCGCATTCGTTGATTAAATTTAACATTCTCTCTGAATAAAACCTGAATGAAAAGCCACTGAGGTTTTATATAAAAAGAAATTAATGTATTTATTTACTTTCTTACTAACTAAAACAATTTTTTTTTCTTTACGCTGATTCTAACTAACAATAATTCGCTTAGACTTACTCATTTGCTTTCACTAATCGCTCAATTCTGCTTTCGTTAATCGCTCTTTGCTTGCTTTCGCTAATCGCTCGTGAATGCTTTCGCTAGTCGCTCTTTGCCTGCTTTCGCTAGTCGCTTTGGAATGCTTTCGCTAGTCGCTCTGGAGTAAGACTGACTTGCGATACTGAGAATCGTGCCGCTATTTATACTAAAAATTTGGCGCGAAATGCGCCGTCGAATGAGCGTTGAGCATGCGCGAAGTAGCGAAGGAGAAATTCGAAAGCGGGGAAAGTGCGTGAACGAAGCGAAGCACAGCAACGCAAAGCAAAGAACGGCGTGCAGTGAGAGCAAGCGAGCAGCTGAAAATAAAATGCTATTTTTTGTTCGATTTGGAACATCTCATCATAGTCCGCTTTATCCATGATAACAAGTTTGTTGCCTTTATCCGCTTTGACGTAGTAACAATTTTTGCTTTTTAACTGTTTAATAATGTAAAAATCATTGTTATTTCAAATGACCGGAGTTGAACTTATAGAATTCGGACCACACACAGTGTTGTACTGTGTCAACTGATGCTTTGACCACTCAGTTCGATTTCGATGTAGGGACTAAGCACACGTACTTCGTATCCACAATTTTTTGTCAAGTGTATTCTGAAAAAATGGCCAAAACCACCAAAGCGAATAAAAAGAATGACAATAAGAGCAAAAAAACGACTATTAAAAATTAGTGCAATAGATCCAATTTACGGTGAGCGATTGCAACAAGAAATTCAAGCATTGAATTTGCCGGCGACGGTGACAAATGCAGCGACCGTACCAAATGCGAATGATGATCGAGATTTTGCAGCACAAGAAGCAAACAACCAAAGTACAGCTGATTCAAATGAGCGGATTTTGTTCCTGGAGAACCAATGTGCCAAATTGACGACGGAAAATGCCAAGCTGTTGAAAGATAACCGTGCGCTAAAAAAAATGGTTGATTCATCGAAAGTGTGAATATGTATAAAGACTATAAAATCGAAAAGTTGAAGTTGTCAGCTAAAAAGAGTGCACCCAAAAGTTCAACAGTGGTGGAAGAAAATGGAGCTAGAGTTTTGGCTGATGTTGTATCGTATTTGTTGTTTGACGATTATCGCCAGGAATTTTCATCACAGCAATTGGTCGAACTCCGCAGAATCCGCAAAGGGAAGATTAATGATGGCAAATTCATCAGAGCATGCTTGTCATTTTTAAATCATGATGACGTTACAAAGTTAAGCAAAAAGTACGCAGCTGAAAAAAAATGAAGGGAAAGGAACATATTAGTCCAAATAAAAATCGATCATGGAAGCAATGTTGAACCAAAGAATTGAATTTGAGAAAGTCACACAAGAAGAATTTTTTGCTCGGTCGGAGCGTCTGATCCGTCTGATTGGTGATGGGCTGTATTCACTTACAAAGGATTTAACGAATTCATCAAAAACAACTTCTGCATCGACCAAAGCAATTTCAACGCCAAGCCGACAAATATTCACTGAAGAAACGAGTCAAAATTCACTGAACGAACAAACAATGATCGTGTTAAACACAGCGCCGACTTTGAGTGAACATCGGGGGACAATAACATCAATTTCAACACCGACTTTAGAGTCTTAGAGTACCCTTTTGCACTATATTAAAATTAGACCTCCCAGATGCATTTCGGCTCAAATCGGGAATTTTGTTGCTCAAAAGCGGGAAAAATGGGTCGAAATCGGGGATTTTTCAGTATCAATAATTTCACTGTAAAATGCATCTGAGAGGCCCAATTTAACATTACCTTTTAAGCTGAAGCAACAAATTTCCAGAACAAATGACTCGAAATAGATAACTGTAACAAAAAATCATCGACGATGCAAGAAAGAAGAAAGAAGAAAACAGTATTTTTGTGTATTCAAATACATTTTTAATTTCGCACTAGGGTCGCCCAGTGGCCGAAAATTCGGCCAATAAATAAAAATTCAATCTTATAAAAATTTTTATTGAAAAAGTTATTAAAATACATTTTCTTAAAACTAAAGTAAATAAATGAAAATTATTTATTTGGTGCAATTACGGTCGCAAAAATTGTTCGACTCCTTTGGTTCAATAGAATCCAATTCATTTGGAAAAACACGAAAGATCAACCAAACATAATTTAACAAATGTAACCCGTAAGAAATACGATTTTTTTAACAAACAGGTGACCAATGCCAATAAAAAATCTAGAATAAATGAAAAAAATATTTTCATAAAATAAAATATAACTATAATTCTTTTTGTCATTAATGCAAAAAAAAGACGCAGTAAATAACTAAAATATAAATAAATAACGCAGTAAATAACATAAATCGAGTTATAAATTTTATTCAATGAAAATCGCCAAAAAAACTATTACATTTTTTTATGGCAACCACAAATCAACAATACGACCAAGGTCAGTAAGAATGTGAATCAAAATAATTAACATTTCATCAACAGTTAATAACGAAATATAATTTTCTTTGAAATTTAACACAATTGAAGCAATGTATGGATCTACATTGTATCGAATGGCCATTGAATTGATTTGATTTTCATTGATTGAAGATTGATTATTCCGATTTCGAATTGCATACTTTATGAAAAGTATGCACTCTGAAATCAATTGGTCATCGAAATCATCATTTGTCACTTCATATAGTGACAAAAAGTAGCGAACAAACCGCTCAGACACACCACATCGCTCAGCGATAATTGAAATCATCTGGTGCAAATAAATGAAGATTAAAAAAAAATATTTAAAAAAATTTAATTTTGCCATAAATTCCACAAAAAATCCTCAATATAAAATGAACCACACGTCGTTTCTAACAATAAATTGAAATTCAATTGAGAAAAATAAAATACTCACAATGAGTTGCAAATGAACGCAGCAGTAACCAACTTTGTCTCGTTTCGAATGCTGTTTACTGTATGCTAACTCCGTTCAACCTGTCAAAAAAATAAAATATTTTCATTAAAAATCAACGAATCCTTAAAAAAAACCGAAATAGAATTTTTTTTATACAACAATTTCAATTTTAAACGGAAAAAACAATGGAATTCTTACGGTTTAGTTGTGTTTTGTTGCAAAACAAATTTTCAGTGCACAGTAACAGCAGCTGCCTTCGTTACGATCGGAATCACGCACCGATTCTGTTCAAACTGCCAAAAAAATAAAAATTTATTCACTAAAATCCAACAATGTTATAAGCAAAACACGGAAAGCACTTTGTTTCTAGCACAAAAACCAATTTTAAATGGAAAAACAATCAATTGCTTACGTTTTGATAGCGTTGAATTGAAAAATCGGCTCTTAGCGCACACAAACAGTTCACTTTGATGCGTTCGAATGACTTTCTTACACAGCTCCAGCCAGATTATTTCTGTTGGTGTAGGTTAGGTACACTCAATGACGAATCACACACCGATTCTGTCCAAACTGCCAGAAAAATAAAAAAATTTACACTAA